ATCTGAGTGGTTTTCACCAACTATAGAGGATAAGGTTTAGGGGCTTAGGGTTTAGAGGTTAAGGTTTGGGGTTATTGGATTCAAGGGTTCGGCTTCCGTGATCTCGGGCTGAGTCCCACCAGACGCGGCGCTGGAGTGTCACCATCAGCTTGACTCATCCGTGCCCTCTTTGCGCGCGGCCAACTTCAGGAAATGAGTTGGCTTATCCTAGACCGGCTACCTCCACAGTAATTAGGTTACTTTTTTGGGCCCCTCTACACAACGATTTGACAAAAACGCACTTTTGGCTATCTGGATTTCGAGCGTTAACATTATCGCCCGCTGCTCCAACTGACCCTAAACCGCCCACCGAAAGTCTTAAACCCCCGACGTGCAGAACGCAAAGTTTGATGGATCCGTCTCGCGAGGTCTAGGTTTTTCCAGCATTTCCATTACCGCGTGCTATGAGGGTCTATCATGGTTCTCCGTTGAGCAACATATCTTGGGTTAGAGATACAAGGAATATGCCTTAATCATAATGCCTTCCACAGTAGAGTAGAGAGCTGGTTATTCTCCCTGACAGGGCTCATGATGACCTTCGATGTTAGTTCAGCGATGCTTGACCTTAAAGAGTGCAGGGAACCCCCCACTGCATAGTTAGCAGGTTGTGGAACGTGCGCTCCCGAGAGCGCATCCATACTTTCAAGTCCCACCTTGGTCAGGCAGGGCTGAGAATGGGCTGGAGTTTCACAAATAAGGGTCCGTGGAGCCCCTGCATGACCGTAACGACCACAGCCTGTACCCTAGGACTCGAAGTCGGGTTTAAAGCTGCGGGAGGCCAGGTTTTCCGGCTTGGCATCCGACCTGTTGAGACCCTTCCCTCACTTGGCGGTTTTCGAAGATCCGTTTAGTCCAGCCCTGTGTGTGGGATTCAGGTTTAGGGGCTTGGTGAATGCAGAAAGCGGTGATGCGGAGTGGTGACAAGCTTGGGGTATAGCTTCACGTGTCCATATGTCTATGCAAGTATTCGAGCATGCATCAGCATATTAGGTGCTTGCGTCTGTATACACATGTGGATGTGTGCAAGCGTGTATGTATGTATGTATGTATGTATGTATGTATGTATGTATGTATGTAGTCTGGACAGAGGCATGACGAAGCACACGGTGCAGACACAGGGACATGTAAGATACCTGGCCGATCTGGTCATTTGCTCGACTAGCTTCTGAGTGATGCGAAGGTGGTGAGAAGCAGGTGGTAGTGCTGAAGTGTGCGTACTTGCGTCTCATGTTTGAGATGCTCATGCCCCGTCGTTGCTTTTGAGGTTTCGCGAGTGTCACAGTATCACGTCGTGAGCTAATGTGCTCATTCATTGGGTTAATGGGCCCAAGCTCTGAAGCTACCGAGACTCTAAACCCTCGCCTGCTTGTCGAGTGCGAGTGCCAAAATGTATGTATGTATGTATGTATGTATGTATGTATGTATGTATGCAGGTATGTATGTATGTCTGTATCTATACATACATACATATATATATATATATATGCGTACACATGCGTGCATGCACAAGCATAGTTTATTCGATGTCTGGGGGGATGTTTAAGGCGCGAAGCCATACAGGCACAGGAAGCGCCACGTATTCAACCTTGGGGCAGCCTAGCGGGGCAGCTTCAAAGCGAGGCTAGCTCGGGGCAACCTCCCAGGCCGCCAAGTAGTACCTGAACCCACCAGAACCTAGTTTTTGCAGGTTTCCTATGAATCCCATAGTAGGGTTTATAATCAGAACCTACAAAAAAGTGGGTTTTGGTAGGTTAAGGCACCCTCTATGATGGGCGCTTTGCATCAAGACTGAAGAGTAATCCTTTTACGTGGTGTCTGGGGGGGAACCTATCTGGCCCGAATAGGAACCTTCAAGCGGAACTTGGTCAGTATGGTCCCCTAGCTAAGCATCTACAACCAGAGATGTTGAGCCAAGAGGGCCTATTTCCTTCAGGTAACTGGGGGACACAGCCGATATGAGAATACCACATGCTTTCGGTCACAGGCACAGCTTAGCGGAGCAGTCGGCATCACATCGATGATGGATCCCAGCCTTTTTCAGCCGGGTTTCTGGTGGAGGAGGGATTCAGCATTCTCATGTTGCGCCATCATGCTGAATACCACTCGGGCTATTGCTGAGGTCAAAAGCTTGGTGATCAGGCCAAGATGGCTTTGAGTTGATTTTTCAAGCTCGGAGTTCCCAGGGTTCAGGCTGCACCGGTAGGTGCCGGGATTTACGATTCAAGTTCTCAACGGAGTGGCGCGATTTTCTTAGAAGATTCTTACGGAACTGCAGCAAAAGCGATACCTGAAGCTCTCATAAGTTAGCCCCTAAATACCCCTAACCCTTGAACCCGCACAGGAGCACCAGGAACATAGTACACTGCGCACCACGACCCTGTCCTAATTGTCTCGACCCCCTGCATTACCAAGCTGTCGTGCAAACCCTTTCAAACTCCTGGGCAGAGGATTGCGGATCAGGTCTCGAAACGGCCACCTCGGGTTGGCCGCGCCTGCTGTAGAACCAAGCCTTTTTCAGAGATGATCTTGGTTCTCCAACACAGAACTTGTGGAAGTTGGGGCTCTTCCGAGGCCGTATTGTACTGAAGCACAGTTCAGCTTGTTTACAGACTTCCGGTCTAAGCAGCCCTGATCCAAGGAAGCACCAAACGCACTCGACGTCGTGGCGGTAGGCTTCGCAAGCGGCCGCATCTGCATGATGAACGTTCGCGAGGACGCCGGGTGACAGCCTAAAACTTCCTAAAGGTCTACACACCAGAACCCAGAGCCGCAGTAGCTGAGTCAAGTTGCGCATGTCGCAACAAAAATCCTACCGCAAATTAAGCCTTTTGTGGGCCGAGGCACTCCGCCAGTTGAGGGCAATAGCAGGCTAAAGCTCGTCCTATCAAGTCTTCTTCATTAAGTTGGGGGCTTCCGAAAATAGGGGACCCTAATCTTGTACCCTAAATAATAAGATCCCTATTATAAGGATCCCAAAATAAGGTACCCCTAATTTCTGAAACTCCCAGTTCGGGCTTGCTTCGTTGGAGAGGGGCTTCTTCCGCGAAGGCCACCGGATGTATGCGTCCTTGAAATCAGGATCCTGGTGCTTAGGGTCGAACATGATGCTCCTCGTCCCGCAACCTACCCTACTTGCCAAGGTTATGGGTTATGTGACTTACTCACTCAGTGGGGACTTTCAAGTTGTTGTGTATTGACGAGTTCGATCTCTGGCAGATTTGATTATGCAAGGAGTTCCAGCGATAAGGGCGCTTACAGTGGTTAGAGTCCTAGGTTCAGTGTTGGGTTGGTTTCAAGTCCGACGGCTTGAGGCCGGAGTGAGGTTCATGTGAAGCCATCGCAAATTCAGAAATACAGAGTCTGTGACATTTTGGGTATCATAAAGACATGGAGGACCACTAAACCCTGATTCCCAAGCCTTAAGCGGGTGGAAAAACGCCTCAAATCCTAATACACATACACACTGCACGCCTACATCCTAAACCCGAAATCAGAATCCTTGATTGACATAGCTATGACTATGACCGGGGGAAGAGGGAGACGAAGTTAGGAGTAGATGAGAGCCCTCAGGTGCAAAGGCTTGGGGTTTGGAGTCCTCAGCGCCCGAGGTTACACAGAAATGTGTAGTAGATCGTACGGAGCCCCATCAAAGTTAGAGGCATGTTTTGGGTAAGAGACGCACCAGTGACTCCTGAGATTTTGCTAGTTTCAGGCTTCGGACATGCTTAAAACTCGGGTTTCAGCTTGATTCATGGAACTCTGCGTCGGGACCTCATCTGTGAGGTGACAGGTTCAAGGTTGCATCCCTGGCCCAACCATGATAACGTCCACCC